TATATATATACATATATATATATATATATGATTCCCCACTCACCCCCCACTTCGGGGCGGTATTATGTTTGACCCCCTGTGCAATTGAGTTTGACACCCCTGATCTAAAACAAGCTGTTAGAATCCAGTGAGATAAAACAATCATACCTGAAGCTTGTTGTTCTTGGAGGTGAGGAGGCTGATCTGTTCAGCAGTCTGGTTCACCTCCTTCTTGAGCCATTCCTCACAGAGGAGTTTCTCCTCCAGCTTTCCTCTCTGTGCTCTAGTTTCTGTTTCAGGTTCACCTCCAGACCATCACACCTGGCCTTCCACTGCTCTCTAGCTCCAGGTCTTTTTGAGCCAGCAGGGCCCAGAAGTCCACGTGAACTTTGGTGTGAGCCCACCGTTTTGTGGTTTCCCTTTTGAGCAGCTCATCTTTCTGTCTGAGCTCCTGTTGGATCTGGCCAAGCTCTTCCTGCTTCTGTCCCAGGAGGCCAACCTGCTACTTTAGAGCAGTGTTTTCCTCCATGAGGGACTTGATCTCATTGATGGCTGATTACAGAGCTTTTCTGAGGCCCTGCGCGACTGAGTTGTCATGGGGCTGGTCAGTGTACTGTGGCTGCACTGCAGCCCGTCAGTGCTGCTTAGGGCCACAGAAGGCAGGTCTGGACTGACTTGGTGCAAAAGCCTGAATAAACAAATACACACTGTCACAGGGGAAACCCCGCGTCCTAAAGGTAGGCTGCTACTACCCTTAAACCACTGGATACAGTGACATTTATTTCATCACTGTAGATGGTTATATCTCCCACTGTGAGCTATGCAGTATGAAAAAGTTAATGGTTATTGGCAGAGGCATTTGAGTTCAGAGCTTATAATTATGACAACAGATCAGAGGATAGACCGCCTTTAAAAATTGCTCATACAAATGGTTGAATATTGGTTTCCATTACTATGCACTGACTAGCTACTGGAAAGAACTGCAGCAAGTGGGAAGACTGAGACACTCATTCCTCGGACGGACTTCTATACTTTTAATGTTTGTGGCTGTGTATGTTTAGTGTAACTTGGTTTAAAGTCAGGGTGAGGTTAGCATTATGTTCTCAGGTCTGTCATGCAAAACAGATATAGATCTCAGTGACATTTCCTGAATAAATATAACTTAAACAGTTGTCAAAGAATTGGATTTAATTTTTAAGTATGAGACCTAGGGTTATGCCCATTGTTCCTGGTGTGCTCAGCAGAGTTTAATTGCTACCCCTCACCTTCCCACTTCCCCTCACTACATTGTTATTGAGGTGATTGAAGCGATACATACTGTATGGTCCATAAGCTGCACATTGTAATGTCACACAATAGCCTGAGTCACCCATTTAAGAGCTTAAGAAAAGACTAATTACCATGCCATTTTTCTTAATGTTATTTCATGTGGTACTAAAACATACAATAGTGGAATTAGGAATATGGTCTACTGAACAGTAACGGCAAATTGGTGCTGTAGACCAGGCATTTGGAGTCACAAAGCATGTTTTTCCAGTTAGCCCTCTGGGTATCTTGCCATTTTTGGATTCTGGTTTACAGTACATGCAGCAGTGATTTCTGCCACTGTGCTCTCCTGTTTTGGTGCTCAAAAATTTAGAAATTAGAAACATTCAGCAATGTTTCCTTTCAGAAAGTGCCCTTTTGAGATAGTCCATGGAAACATTGTGTACTAGGTTCACTACTTTTTCAACTTGAAAGCAAAATAGCTTCCATTGAAAACTGTTAATATAGCCTTTCTAAAAGCTGATACTGTTTGACCTTTAACTTACATTTTGATGCACTGAACATGACAGATTAAATTAGATTAACCTAAACCTAAACTGTATTAGTGCAATGGATAAACCGGGGCAAAACTAAACTGTCCTGCATGACAAAATATACAAAGGTATTTTGGAATATTACTGTTTGTGATTTGGGTGAACTGATCCTTAAAGTTAAGTAAACATTTTAGTTTTCTCCCCCAGGAAATAGTCTGTGGTTTTAAAATTGTGATTTGCAAGTGAGAGAATGATGGATCAAGATAATGGCAAGAAACACAAATTAATCTGGTACATTTGAAATTACAGAGTATAGTTTCTTATAGCTGTGTACTCAGGAAAACATAACAAAATACATAAAATATGACCCAGGTTAATACTTAAGTTATCAGTAGCTTTCATGCTTGTAATTTGCTCAGAGCAGGGTCCTTAGCATCTGCTGTCTTTGCTTATGTCTTTGACAGAAGCGTAAACGTACTACACAGGCTAACACAGACAGTGTGACCCCCCCAGTGCTCCAGTTGTAGCACAGTCCATCTGTAAATTTGTGGGGCTGTTTAATATTGAATCCTCCTACAGTATGTATATCCACAGCAGCCTCAGCACTTGCAAACCCAGCATGTCTGTTTCAACCAGTGTCTGTCACTCATGTTCACCCATTTGCCATTTCAGAAGTGTCCTTTAGCATTTGAAGGAAGCATTAGTGAAGAGGCAGGTGTAGAGAAGTAAAGACCGTGCATATATCAACCACCTTTCTACATTATATACTAGAACACGGAAATGAAAAATGATACTATAGTAGGCAACAGATTTATGGTAACACTATCAATTTAAAGGCATCAGATTGTACCAGATCCATCACAATGATGGATTTCTACAGTCACATCATGTTTATTATTAGTTTGGGTTTTTGTTTCTACTAAGAAAATCTCACTGATTCTATTTTGAAAAGTAGGAATATAGAAATGAGTCAAAGCAAATATCTTTTCAGAGACTTAAAGAGCTGCTTCGCTGCTTTGTGAACAGTTATGTTTTTTAGTGTGGAGAGCTGGGAATTAGCTTTATTGATCATCTTTATGCGGACTGATCAATCCTAACCAAACACAAAGAGGAACATGGGAAACACAGATCTTGCCTTCAGGCCTCGTCGCTTGCTGTGCTGTAGTTACTGTGTTTGATAAACTGAGTCTGTCAGTAAGTTTGGCTACTTTAAGTGCTCCAGGGTGTTTACTGTAAGTCATCCTACTTCAGGTGTGCTTATCATACAAACAGTAGGAAATATTAGAGAAAAGTACATTATTGCCCAGGAAAAGCTTTAGAAATATGTAATCTGTTTAGGCTGTTATCAGTGTTCTATTTGAGCTTCCCCCCAAGTCAACATAATACCCACTACTGGAGGACCACAGCTGGACAGAGGAGGAGGAAAGGATATGAAGGGGAGGGCAAGGCCTTTAGGGCCCAGCAAGAGATGCTACTGTATATACTGTATGTGTATAAGTGAAAAAGGAAATGAGGAAGGAATGTGGTTTAAAAAAAGTAGCAGACATATCCATGTGGGTTGCATTGTTATAGAAAGAGCAATGCAATAATGCTGAGGAAACAAGATTCCAAATGAAAACAAATGTACCTATTCAAACTGACACACATGCACAGCTAATATAAACACGCGCACCTGCATACACAGACACGTATATATGCAATAAGCAATGACAGCCTATTCTTTACCTCCCAGCTTTTTCTCACTCACCTGTAAATTTTAGTTGCTTTATCTGAATTGAATCCACCACATACAGTATATCTCCAACAGCGACAGCACAGCAACAACACAAAGCAGTATGTGTATTGTGGTTTATTGCCTCTCACATGGGTTTCTTTAGTTTCTTTTTTTTTTTGCTATCAAATAGCTGATTGACAAGCAACATGGCTTCTGCACCAGTTTTACTGTGCGCTTAAGCACAGTGGGCTTTCAGAGAGAAGAAGAATAATTTAGAAAACAAACCCTTCAAAATTAAATTGTCACTGAATGAATTTGCCAACCAGTGAGGTCTTGTTGGGACAAGTGATGACAAAGAAGGAACAAATAAGACTGAGGGGAAAGAGAGGCAACTGGAGGGGAGGGAGAAGGGGAATGCTAAAATCTGAGAAGACAGTGAGGGCTTCTACATTGCCTGAGGCACCGCCTGACAAGAGGCCTCGTGAAATGGTGATGATGTTGGAAAGCAAGAGGCTTATTTAAGCAAAAATTGTGTTTATCAATGTTTAACCATCCAGACCATGAATACTAGGGGTGTGACAACACACTTGGCCCCAAGACGGGATAATCCACGATACTGGGATCGTAAGAACAAGATGAGCCGATATTTTAACACAATTAAGAAATCTTCAATGACAAAATATGACTAGAAAAATTGTCTTTTATTTGACTGAAAGTCACAAAATGCAAAACAATGCAGGTGCATTTTGAAATGCTTTAATTAATCATCTTGTAATGAATGTCACTTCAGTTCTTCTTTGAGTATGAATTAGCATATGCAGTAAAAGACAATATGCAAGTACTGTAAAAGGTTTTGCCACAAACTCACCCGACTGGCTTCTCTCCTGTGTGATTTCACACGAGTCTCTTCAGACCTTATAACTGCATGAGCTTCTAACTTTTAATTGAAGCTGTGTGTGGCCGTATATGCAATTTGTCACCTTCACTGCATTGGATGGCGACATCGTCCGGCAAAGGTGCTATGCTGACCAATAGTATATGGGGGACGACTGAGACGTGTACACCCATGGGGAAGAACCTTTTTTAGTATGATCTTGTCACACCCTTAGTGAATACTTTATAAAATATCACTATCTTAAGGGTCATTATTTGTCGTTTGTTTTGACCTTACAGTTGGTCCATTGAAAATGTGCCATTTACACTTTTTCTGTTTGCACAATGCAGTGTTTGAGACAATTAATGATTGTTGCTGTGAATTTTCCTTCATCAACAAACACCCAGCAGACATACACACAAGAAAACACCTGCTTCAAGCATGGTGTGTAGCATTTTTTTTTTTCCTGTTCCCTAATTACACTGATCGCATCTCCTCCTCACTTACACAGTAATCACCTAACATAAAGCAGCTAAGTGTGTTTGGACATTATGTGACTGGACTGAAACATCACTGTGGATAATTAGCAAACCAAATGATTGTGACTGCATTCTGTGCTTGTGTGTTTCATCAGGTGCAGGTGATGTCGTGCAGTGTGGGTTTAGGTGGCAGGATGACATTTGCCAAGTTTCTCCTTTCCTTCTTCATTCTCCACTCTTTCTGTGAAGGTGAGTCCTCTTGGCTATAAAGACTGAATATGTGTAAATCCACAAAGACTATACTTTTATTTTGTGAGTGCTGGCATTGTTCATGCTGCATATTTTATACAATGACCATAAATTCCTGGCACAGTGCATACATTTCAATTTAATGTATACCATTATATTCTCAGTAGCAAAAGGATAGTGATTTTACTTGGCAGCTATTTTAGTGAATATGTGCAACAGTATGAAGTTGAAGCTGAATAACTGAAAAGGAGCATGGTCAGTCAGTCAAATATCCCGAATAAAGGTCTAGAAATTTTGCTGTGGCATCAACATTTAACCATAAATTTACCCTTTCCAGCCATGAGTATGAATACACTGGATTTTTATAGTGCCTTTATCAGTGACTTCATAAAAGCTGAATACATTTCAGGCTACAGGAAGAGAAGCTAAAATGTGATAACAGAATTTAAGTGTTAGAATACCTCACTCTCTTCTGCTTACTTTGTCATTATTAACTGCCTGAATGGATTTTCTCTTGCCGTCTACACATGATGTATCCCCTTATGTTTTCTTGACTTGTACACCTATTGTTTCACCACTGTGCACGGTTTGTTTATTTGATCACATTTATTGTTGCCATTCTTCAACTCTAGCCCTCCTTCCTATGTCTGTCTTGTATAATGTCACACATTATTATTTGGCCTAAGACCTACTTAAAAAATATTTGCCTCCTTGCTGAGTATGTAGCTGTAAGGGCCTGAGAGAGAGACAGATACAGTGAGAGAGAGCTTTGATGTGACAGGTAGGAGACACCTCCCATCACACAGCGCTGACATAGTAAGTGAATGCCACAATCTCTTTCCATCAAGCACAGAATTTACCAGGGCTTTTAAAAAATATTTCTGAAGTCTTTATACATACATCTTTTTCTATATTACTGTTTTGTTCCTCTCTCCCACCTTGCTTTTCCAATGAACCCATTAGCACACTGTCCTGTGGTCCTCTTGAGCATCAGCTTCATGATCCAGCAATGTGAATTGATGATCATTTCTGTGATTATTTTGTGGCTGTAATCTGTTTGTATTCCACTTTCCAAGCCTGGCACACTGCCTTATAGTAATTAAGCCACAGGTATGGCTGGTTAGCTGTGCTTCTCACCACCCCTTCCCATCCTGTGAGACATGCTCCATGTTTTAGGCACCCACTAAAGAGGGCCGCACGCTCAGTGCAGGGGGTGCCGCAATGGCCTGACCATGTACCGGTCATCTTTTGAAACTGCGTGCTAGGGTGCACGGCTTCTTGCTAGTGATTGGCTCTGTACTGTCATGTGACCTGCCTTAGCACTACATCAAGCCACATGCATACTGTGTGCTTAACAAACTGCTTGATTCCAGTAAATTATCAGTCTGATCTGCAGAGAAACAAAAATACTTGGTGTATCTCATAATTTTCAAGGCGCATCTAGTTAATGAACTCCATCTTCTCTCAGTGTCTAGAGAGAACAAGCAGACAGTCATCTTGTTTCCCCAGCATACAGTAAATGCAACAAACAGAACAACTCCTCTTCCTCCTCATCCAGAATTCATTCCCTCTGTAGTGCCCAAGTGCAGTGGCAACTCCTCAAAGCTTTGTGCCACATGTGAACCACAGACTCTAAATAAAGACGGATGATACAAAAATATTTTTCTCCACTATGCAAAAGTGAAACAACATACTAGGAACATGGCAGCTGCCATTTTGCAATTTTGCAGCCAGATTCTGAGCAATAGCATTAGAATACTTGAATGATGAACCACCATTCAAAGCTGTCAAATCATCCAAAATACACCCCTTTTAAATTATCAAATAACTTATTAAAAACAAACTTACCAGAAAAACAACCACTTTTATACATATCAGTGTGACAACATCTACCAAAAATGATAGAAATCACCTCTGTGAAAATTTATTTGATTTGTACTTTGAGTGTTTAGTTTTGCTCATGTCCCATCCACTAACACGGAGGGGGCAGAATTTATGACCTATGCTGCCACCAGGGGGCAATTATCTCCTGGTGGCTTCACTTCTGGGATCTTTCACATTGTCCATATTTATATACAGTCAGTGGTATAAATACACTGGCTGCACACTGCACACACACGGCCTCAGAGGGCTGCGTGCGTAGCGATACATGTAGCATGCAGACCTTGTAAGAGTCACACTGGCAAGCTAGAGATGAGCATCTTCTGTGCAGACAGGCACGTGACAGAATGAAAAGCAACCACTTTCAAAGCACTGATTCATTCTTTCAAGCGCTCTCACATCAGACAGGCTGGTCTCCCCTTCTCGCTTCATTGTCTTTGTAGTCAGCCATCCAGCTAGGTTGATCAAAGACCTTTAGCTTTGTTCCCTGATCTTTCCAACAAAACAGCTTGTATCACACTGTCTTGTGACATCGCAGAACCTTGCCAAACACAGCAGACTATTAATCCATTAACAGGCCCTTTAACTGTGGTATTTGGATGTAAGCATATTTCTTCTCATACAAATAATTAAATAGAAGGGTACTTACAATTTCAGATAAAATAAGTCAGTGTGGGAGTTATGTCTTGTTGCCATGTTTTTCAAGGTTCTGGACAGACCATGTAAATGTAAAATAAATCAAACTGACAGCAGTATAATGCTCTTTCTAACGTACTAATCAAATGTTTGTACATATTGTTTGGATGAACTGATAAGATTTTGGTGGTCAAAGGTCACTGTGACCTCACGTCTGTTGTATTCTCACAAATGTGGTATCAGGAATGTTTCAAGGGGATCTCTGTAAATTTAGTAAAAAAAAAAAAAGAGAGAAAAAGTTTGAGTTCAAAGTGTTTTATCTGTCATATGCACAGTTAGGAAACATGTTTCCCTGTACAATGAAATTCCTACTTTGCCGTCCACATGAATGCCACAAAATACAAATGAAATATAAAGTAGATAAATAAGTAACACAAACTCTAAGGCACTTTAAGCAGCAATATAATAAAAAAAATTATATAAGAATATAACAGAATGTATGCTGCATAGGAGCAGCATGTGCAGCAGAGTTATTGTGCAATTATGCATGCAACACAAATAAGGAACACAAAGTCTAAGACACTTTAAGCAGCAACAAATGCAGCAATATAATAAAAAAAAATATAACAATGTATGCTGCATGGGAGCACCATGTGCAGCAGTCAACAGTCATTGTGCAATTATGCATGTGCAAACTGAGAATGTAAACAGTACATGACGTATTTCCTGGTAATAAACTCCCTGTTTAGGAGTCTGATGGCAGAGGGAAAGAAAGAGTTTTTCAGTCTAGTGGTCCTACATTTCAGGATTCTGAACCTCCAACCAGAGGGCAGAGAATGTTAAATGGTCTTATATTTGTATAGCGCCTTTCTGTGCTTTACAGCACACTCAAAGCGCTTTCACACTATTTGGCCATTCACCCATTCACACTCCCAAACCGGTGACATCACCGGGAGTACAGTGTCTTGCTCAAGGACACTTCAACATGTTGACTGGACAAGCCGGGAATTGAACTGCTAATCCACCGGTTAGGAAACGACCCACTCTACCTCCTGAGCCACAGCCACCTCAGAGAAGTGAACAGTCTGTCCATCCATTTGGACGAATGATAAACCGATTTAGATTTTGGTTGTTAAAGGTCAAAGTTACTGTGTCAGAGGACACACTGGCACCATGTCAGTGTACTCTATTCCTATGAACTTTTACTGGTTGGCTGAGGCAGACAACTGTGAGGTGGTTATTCTAGTTGATACTAAGCGGCTCATTTTGTGGTGCAAACCGGTGAAATAGCATATGTTCATATTTTCTAAAAAGTCACAATGGAATTTTGTGCTGAGAAAAATAAGAAAAATGGCACCCCTGGAACTTGCCCATTTGGTCTCATGCAATAAGAAAAATGAATTTTAAGGTATTCCCTTTTGAGAGTGCAAAATAAGGCAGTAGATGCCCTTCAGCACCTGATTTACCACCGCTGTGGCAGAGGTAGCTGTGGGTGACATTTAACGTCAGGCACTGCTCTCAGCATGACAGTTGTTAATCATTTGAGACCTTGTCTAAGTTAAAAACACACATGAGGAAGATGTCTGTGAATTGAATCACATGACCGAGAGGAATGTGAGACTTTTTATAGGCTTTCAGGTCAAACCATGCTTCAATTACTGAACAAAATAAGAGCATTTGTGATGGTCCCCCAAAATGGTGACCTGGACTGGGTTTTTGAAATTCTCAATTTAAGTAATGTTGGTGCATCAAAATATGCAATGCTACACACAATTCTTCCTACTTATAAGGTTTCATAATACAGCTACACATTAAATTTAACCCTATAACACCATTTGTATCATATTCAGTGTAGCAGTCAAGGACATGGCTGTCATCAATGACACTGCCGAATGCATGATTGCTCTTGCAACAGATGTTAATAGTCGTCTTACGAGAGATGAGACTCAAAAACGGTACCTCTTGAAGGTGGTTGTGAAGCATCACGACAACATGCCATCACTTCCTTTGAATTGAATAGGATTGTTCAGTTTAAGATGTTTCTGATTTAAAAGTAGAGTGGTGACTATAACAAGTGCAATGTATGTATAATGACTCTTTGGTTACTGTCTTCATGTCAAACTACAAATAAGTGGATTAATCAGACACTGTTTAGAAGCATTTTGTGGGGGCGACCGTGCTCATTTGCATTATCAGCGTTGGTAAAAATGTCACTGAATTGAAAAATGGTGGTGCCACAATATTTTGCACACTGGACAGTAATTTGCAACAGGTTTAGTACTGTAAATATCCCCCTAAAGCCTCCAAATGAGCAGAGTGAAGTGTGTCAGGATGGACTTCATAGAACAGGACAATCAGCTGATTCACAGGTTAGGAGTTAGGCAAATTCCTAAGACAAAGCAGGAGCTGTTGACCCATTTTAGATTACAATATTCCTTTCAGAGGTACTGTACACAGGCATACGCTATGCATGCACCAAAGTGAAAGGTTAGGCTGTGTTGCCCAGACCACTGGTACCAAACTACTATACAGAGAGAAAACGAGTAAAGAGAGAGTTTAGTTCCTACAGCTCACATTCAGCTTGACTACTAGGGTCTACACCTATGATATAAAAATTAAGAGAGGGAGAGTATGTTCTGGATTGGACTTGAAGCTTGAGGATGATGTATAATGTTTTTTATGAACCTCTGTCTTTACTTTCACGTTGATGTTTCTGTCTTTCAAAAGCTTCCAGATGTGTTACTGGCTTTTTCTTTTTTTTTTTAAACAAAGCATCTATGTTCTCAAAACACTGCTATGGGTCTCCAAATGTCATCCACTGTTTTACTCTAAATACACTTGCTCCAGCTGCTCACAAAGTGTCATACACTGAATATATTTGCTTGCCCCCTTGTGGAGGGAGGGGACATGCTTTGTTTTTTTCAAAGCATCAGAACAGACTGAATTTAACAACAAAACAAGGGTGTGTGCGGTAGCATCAGCTGCACCAATAATTTTTTTTTTTAAGTTGACACGCTCACTGCTGTGGTGTAGTTGGACCTACAGTATTCACAAGGACACAGCTATACTCCATCTATTTCACATGAACGGCTGTCCTGCTGCTGTAAATGTATGATGCATCACTTCTTGTGATCCAAAGAGTGTGAAAGACCTACCAGACAAACATTTGTAAAAGATTTTTTTATATTATGGTAAAGTTTGAATCACTAATTATGTTACGTAAATCAACATAGCAACATAATTTAACAGTGTGACAGTATATGGCTTTAACAAAAAACAAATCACAGTAGATGGTTTCAGGGTATAATGCAGATTACTGTTCCTTTTCTCTGCCCGCAGGCTCCAACCAGCCGCCACGCTTCCTGAACTACTTCTTTTCAACCTACCTTCTTATCTATGAAGATACGCCCATCGGTGAGTCTCTCTGGAGCACCAGCGTGTTGTATTTGATGTGTGTGTATTGTCTAAAGTAGAGTAAAGCTGTCTTTGTGGATGGCTTTGTCAACTTAACTGCAGAGAAATAGCCTCTTCACCCTATCCCTTGAATTTTAACTGAGAAGGTGAAAACAAGTAAGGAGAGATGTCATAATAGACACTAATGGTGATTTATCAGGGGTGTGTGTGTGTGTGGGTGTGGAGACTCGTCCATCCTTGTGGGGACCAGATGCTAGTACCCACAAGGAAATCACTGAATTTTAGGGTGGCAACATGGTTTAGGGTTAGTATGAGGTTAGTTGTTAGGGTTAGGCAAGTAGTGGTTATGGTAAAGGTTAGGATAAGTCTACAGGAAATGAGTGTAAGTCAATGTAAAGTCCCCACAAGGAATGAAAACACAGAGTGTGTGTGTGTGTGTGTGTGGTGTTTGTTTGTAATGAGAGAGGAAGTCCAGAGCCTGGTCGAGTGAGTCTCTATAATATCTAGCTGGCATGAAAGAAACCTGGGAGGCTTTGGATATTTCACACCCTAGTGTCTTGATGAAAGAGTTTGGGCAGATTTGATATAGCCATGATATTTTAAGCTTGCTTATATGTTTTATTCCACTGTTGTTGGGGGTCATGAACATCAGACATGGTTGAGTCCAGTTCCTCCTGGATGTGTTATTTGCCCTCTTATTTATTTAGTCATTTTTGTGGGCTGCAGTGATTGACAGGGGCAATTTGGGGATGTCTGGCTTTTCATCACCTCTGTGGGTGTCACTGGCTTTGAATTAAAATCTTTTATATTGGATTGATTTTATAGATGTTTTTTTTTTTTTGATGACTTTTACACTTTGCCAGTCTGTCAGCTCCTGTTATGAGTTATGAAGTGTTTGTTCCCCATGTCCACACCCTCAGAGCTGCTTTATGTGAGCAATGTCAGGCACAGAGAAACTCTTAATTTTAATTTTCTTTTTCTTTTTCCTTGGGATCAGGTAAGCCTCCATCATCAACACAATGCAGACGCCATTGCCTTAAGCATTGTCTCCATCTTTATTATCTTAGTTGCCTGTTTTGTACTGCAGTCAGGAAAGGTTACATTATCCACTGAGTCTATAGTAAATTATCATCATAACCCCAAACACCATTGTCCTCATAGCTGCCTGGTTTGGCATCTTTGTCCAAGCAGATCCTGGCACAGGGCCATCGCTTCATGCAGTCAGCTGCTGTTCTAACTAGCGAAGGGCATGGATGTGTTGGTGTGTGGTGCTTCTAATTTCCTTAACCACTCTGTCCAGGTTGCCCTCTGGCTATGAATCACTGTGTCCTGTCCTCAGGCAGCTGGGCTTTGTTCCAGCGATGCCCTGCACTGGGCCAGCAAGTTGTCAGTCATGTCCCTGGCCCAGCCTGTGATGGCTTCTTCAGTGGTGTGATTAGGAGGGCGGGATGAGTGAAGGGACAGTGACAATTTGTCAAGATTATTGTTTATTGGCTCAGCAGATGTCCTCATCTAGGCAACACTCCAGTTCGAAAACACAAACACACCAGTCACTGTGTGCATTTATGTGAGCAGAGGATGTGACATAGTAAAGAACAGCTTAAGATCGTTCTCACTCCAAACATCCTCAGTTTCCTCTCAAACAAGAGCACTTATCATCCAGAAAACTGGCTTAACAGAGTAGTCCAGCAATAATTTCAATGCTGACGTTGCTTTTACTCTTGATTTAAATAAAGGGAAGATTAAAAATATTTTCTCATCTCAAGGTTCAGTGCAAACTTTGTGTAAAGAATTGTTAAACTGTGCTTTTAGGGCACAGTGTAGGCAGTTTAATCATATTCAAAACATCAGTGACCCATTATTTTATCACAAGGTGCCTGGCTGACTGACTGGAAGCCACATTGCATGACTTGAGCACACTACTCAGGTTTCCATAGCCACTCTGATTACCTGCACGGAGGTTGTCAAGCTAACTCTTGGTGATAATGTAACAGCACAGGATTCATTTAAGCAGGTTGTGTGAGGTGCTAACTTGTGCAATAACCAATTGACACTTGCACGATAAGAGCATTCATACTGGTGAGATGAGCAGACCCTTAAAACTGCTCTTCCTGCATGTGCAGCTCACTATCTGGTCTTGTCTAGGCAGCAGATCAGTGACTTCAGCACATGGCCTTAGAGCCAGTAGCCTCGGTTTGGCAGAAGCACATGATTATTTATCAGAGAGATGAGGGAGTGTGCCCAACCACAGCATGGATATTTGATCTGAGACAATACCCGCTCCTCTCCCCCTCTCACCAGCAAGGGGTTTGGTTCAAGAGCAAGTGCGAGGTGTTTGGAAGAGACTGCACAGGTGTGGGCTGCAGAGGCATGTGTGACACAATGGGAGAAGATTTTTACTCTGTGTAAACTCCCACCTCTAATGTAGACTGTTTTTAACCAGTCACCTACAACCTACCTACCAACACAACACCCTCAGTTTAACATATGGGTAAGACTGAACCCATGACGGAATCTTTAGTCCCCACTGGTTATAAATAATGCCTGTGATGCATGATTAGGATGTCTCAGAAGAAGATTTTATATAGTATTTAGAAAGAAAATTCACTCTGTTCATGTTCTCTGTATGTGGGTGTGTGTATGTCCACTGAGTGTGAGAATGCACCTACATTTCATCCATTTTTTTTTTTTTTTTTTGTCAAATCGAAGCAGTGGGATCATTCCCTTTTGTTCAAATGCAATGGCAGATGAGTGTGTATTGACAGGAAATGGGATGTGTAATTAGACTGAGAGAACACTTTGATTAAACAGTCTCATCTCCTAATCCACTTTGCCCTGATTCGGCAGATTAAGCTCTCTACTGAGTAATTAACTTGTGGAAAGAACACATTTGTTCATAATAAGAAACTTCCACACTCTGCTGGGATGGTTTGTGAATGTCTTGTAGTTTATGCCAAATAAGCATAAGGCTTCACTGTCAATTTTTAGAACCTGACTTAGGCTAACATTATTACAACCCATTCATTTATGCAGAATAAGCTATTGTATACATTTACTGAGGAAGTAAGGAGCCTCAGAGAGCAGAGTACCACAGGACAGAGGTTTCTGACAGTGTTCATTACATGAACAAATTAATGAACTGAAGGTCTCTTTTTCAAACAACCATTTCAGTCATTGTGAGTAGCACACTCATCTCTCTTGTCATTAAATTAAAGATTTTAACATTTTCAATAGAAAAGGATTGTAAAAACAAAGTTATACACCTGGATCACACAGTGAACAGCAGATTTTCAAAGCAGCCAGTTTGAGCATTAGCAGTCAGTTTAAGAGCCATTATCAGCTAGACCTCCATTCTTACGCAGTAATTTCTTTCTTGTATATTTTCTTTTCTCTTGTAACATCATCAGGAAAATGTAGTTCCAGAGGACATTTTAGTCCTGTGTATCAAAGATGTAGAGTCTTAGCTACTGTATGTGTACCGGCAGTAGGATTTAAAATAAAGAAAATATCCAACTTCTGTCTGAACGTCTTCATTCTCCTTTTCTTTTTCCACATTCTTCCACTGCCACAATAAATACTTTGCACTTTTAATTAGGTCTGTGGCATTCCTAATTCAATAATAATTAAGGAGCAGGAAGTAGCCCTAAGGAACCACTTATTAAATGTGTTGATAATGTCCGTTTACTCTCTCCCCAGCCAATTCTCCATTGTCAGCTGCCTAGCGCACTCTACATTAACTATGTCTTGTCAGCACTCTCCTCTGGACACTATTTCTGTTTCTCTTTCACAGCTGTCTGATTCAGTATATTGACTGTTGGCTTGCCTGCACCCATAAACAAAGCAGTATTCATAACTATTGCTAGCTGTGATAGATTGATGGTGTGAATGCTCCCCTATCTTGAGTGGACTGAGGCTTCTTGTTATACAGTGCAACCAGAAAGTATTCACAGCCTTTTTCCACATTTTGTTAGGTTACAGCCTTATTCAAAAATGGATTAAATTCATTATTGTCCTCAAAAATTCTACAAGCAATACTGCATAATGACAATATGAAAAAAGTTTGTTTGAAATCTTTGCAAATGTATTAAAAATAAAAAATGTAAAAATCTCATTTTTAAGGACAATAATGAATTGAATCAATTTTTGAATAAGGCTGTACCCTAACAAAATGTGGAGAAAGGTAAGCGCTGTGAATACTTTCTGGATGCACTGTACATGTGTTGTTGAACATCTGAAATCAGAATCACTTCTAAAGCAACACAGAGATTGTAATCTTATTATTTGAAGACCTTTAACCATGGAAGCAGATGTTACTGTTTTTATGTTAATATCTGCAGGAAGCTCACAAATCCTGCTTTGAGTCTGTCTCCTGCTAAAGTGGTTTTTGTGTTTAGTGCTGGAAAATAGGCGACATATTTTACTTCATGTTAGTGACACTTGGCTGAATATAAGGGCACTCAGCTCTTTTTTTTTCTTCCTGCTGCTGATCAAATGATTGGTCAGACCATTACCTTGTTGGAGAGAACAGTCTCCTTACCTGGCTGACTCTCCTGTTGCAAATCACTGCCTGACCAGCTGATTGACACAGTACTGCAGAGGAGAAACACGTACAGTTCACACTCCTGCTTTGTCTGTATTTGGGCTGTTACATCAATACTGTAAGCCCTATACCACATTTCACATACAGCAAAAACAAAAAAAATCGTAACATCAATACATTTTGCCACATTTCCCCTTTAGCTAATTACTGTATCTTTCCACTCTGACACATTTCACCCATGTGGGGCAGCTTTATGGAAAAACAAAATGTAAGATTAAAAATATAACATGTTCAAATATTTTTGAAGTTAGTGTGTGAAAACCAGTGCTCAGATTAATAGAGAGCATCACATTATCCCCTCTACTTTCTTGAGTACAGTGCATGTTCACATGGCACTGGGTAAGTACTGAAGTAATGGTAGACAGTTTACCCACATTTTCTCCACTGGTACTGCTCATTG